TTATCCGTGAGTTATATTTCTTAATTATTATTATTATTGTTTATTATCGTGCCATAAGGGCCGCATATTATATTATTTTTTTATTTTCTTGTTATTTACACTTGTTGGGCCAGAAGGGCCATACATACATATTATATTATTATTATTTTTATTTGTGTGTGTGTGTGTGTGTGTGAATTATTCGAACAATTGTATATATTATTTTACTGTACAGGGCGTGATAACCGGCCGCAGTAGGCAATTTACTTACTATTGCCTACTCATTATATTATTTATTTACAATTTAATTGTTCGGCCAATTCATTACCACTCACAGTTACCATTTTTATTATTATATATTTTATTATTACATTCAATTTATACATTTTTACGTGTTGGGCCAAAAGGGCCGTAATTTAAATCATCATCTTTTTAATTATATTTTGTGTTGCCGTGAATTATTTATTTTATTATATCATTATTATACAGCAACACTAATTACTATATTTTGCGTCATAATTTTTATTTTTATCTTAGTTACCCTTTCTGTTTTAGTTTAAGCACACACCCACACGAATACACACATACACACACCACTTACACACATAGTCGGACACTAGTCGCGCGGCGATCCCAACCACTGCTGTCCGATCTATTTACAAAATACACACATTTTACAAAGGTCGGTCGGTGTGTGAGTGCAGCGCACGGAGTATTTAGGTAACCGGGCGCGCGTATCAATGCTTTACGCTCCCGGTCCGTACATTTTGGTGACCTCGACGTGATAAATATCTTATTTTATTACGTATATTTTATAGCTGCGTAACTGCATACTTAGTGATTAATATTTCAATTCTTTAATCTATTATCTTTTATTGCGAATTATAAATTATAAATATTATTATCAACTTATCATATATAACAATTTGCGATTTAATTTTATATCGCATTATTTTGATACTAGATCATATTTATTTTGTTGTATGCGTAAATTAAAATTGTATTTATTATATATGTATTTAGCCTCCTAATAAATTATTATTTACTGCTGAGAAAAAAATATATAAGAGAATATATATAATTATTATTTTTAGTACAGCTTTGCAAAATAGGTATTAAAACTAACTAATTAAATTATCGCTAGCATGTCGTCAGACGAGGCACTGTTGGTTCAGCTAAAAGAGCTTAAGAAAAAGCGAGGCATAGTTAAGGCAACGCTCACTCGCATGAAATTTTTCGTTCAGAGTTTTGATCCGACGGTAGAAGCTATTTCTCTCTTAGAATATAGGCAGGAGGAGCTTCCTAAGATAAATCAAAAATTTGACGACATCCAAACTCAGATCGAGCTGATCACGGTTGATGACTTGGATAAGGAGGAGGACGAGCGTGAGAGATTTGAAGTTGAGTTTTTTAGGATTAGATCTACAATACAGGAAATAATCAATACAAAAAACGCTTTCAATAGCAGCGCGCACAGCTCCACCCTTAATATGTCAGCTACTCAGGCGCGTGTACAACTGCCCTCCATAAAACTGCCAGAGTTCCATGGTAATATTCAAGATTGGGAATCGTATTATGATTGCTTCAGGTCTATGGTGCATGAGGACAACAATATCGCAACAGCTCATAAATTTTATTACCTGAGAGCGTCCGTCTTCGGTGCAGCTCTGGACCTCATCAAGACAGTCCCGATGACTGACGCGAATTATGAGGTAGCGATGATGCGACTGAAACAGAGATATGACAATAGGAGTCTAACCATACAATCACACGTTAGGTCGTTATTAGAGTCACCATTTGTGGAAAAAGCAACAACAGCACAACTTCAACAGCTGCATTCGCACGTATGTACCCACGTCGCCGCTCTTAAGGCACTAGATCAGCCAGTTGAGAAATGGGACGCACGGCTAATTATGATAGTCTGTATGCGTTTAGACAAGGACACGTTGCATGGATGGCAGCTCCACCAAAGGGACACACAGCTTCCCAGGTATATTGATCTCGAAGAGTTCCTAGCGAGTCGCTGTGTCGCGATGCAAAATTCTTATACATATCTTCCCGAACATAAAGAAGTGGAAGAGAACAATGTAGCGACAAAACAGCCAAGGCTGAAGAAGAACATTGGAGCGACGCCGGGAAAAAGAGCGCTGGCTGCAACTACAAAGGCATGTGCAGAAGAAGCATGTGCTTGTTGCCTTGAGCCTCATAGATTGTATCAATGCAATAAATTCAAAGATATGTCCCCTAACAAAAGAATAACGCTCGTACGTGAAAAAAGGCTTTGTTTTAACTGCCTTTCTCCATATCATAGAGTAGATTCATGCAGATCAAAGTTCGTTTGCCAGAAGTGTAAAAGGAGACATAATACTCTCATGCATCATGAAAGCCAAGGAGCTTCAAAGGAAATTGCTGAAGGAAGTTCTGAAGAAAATATTGGAGAAGCTGCTGGATCAGTAAAGGTGGCAAGGACAGCTATGCTGGCGCATCACAAATGTGCGCATGTTTTTCTTGCGACAGCGGTCGTTCTCATCAACGGAAAATTCGGGCAGCAACGTGAATGCAGGGCAGTTCTGGATAGTGGCTCCCAGGTCAACTTTATTTCAAAGAAGCTAGCAAATCTATTGATGTTGCCAACAAAAAAAGCGTCCTTACCAATAAGTGGTATAGGGTCTACTAAAGCTCGATCCACCTCCTATGTCGAAGTAAGTGTCCAATCGAGAATGAGTGAATATCAGTTAAGATTAATCTGCTACGTGTTGCCAAATATGGTCACTAGCTTCATGTGCAGAGCCCAAAGATGGTTGGAAGATTCCAAATGAATTGTCAAGAGGCCTCGCAGATCCACAATTTTACCAGAGAAGGAGTGTAGATCTTCTAATAGGTGGAGGTGTCTTTTTTGACATAATCGGATCAGAGCGTAAGATAATCGGTACAGGCCCGTTAAGCTTGCAGGATAGTGACTTGGGATGGATTGTGACTGGCGAGTTAGGAGTGAACTGTTTTCTGGGGACAAATTCCCTAGGTGAAGACATGGAGAGCAGTTGGCGGACAGAATTAGTAGATGATTGTGCTAATTTTGGACAGAAATCGAAGAGTAATCTCAAATCATTAGAAGAACAAGAGGTAGTAGCGCATTTTAAGCAGAATACCATTCGTGATGATGAAGGGCGATTTGTAGTGCGTTTACCAGTAAAGCCTTCAATCAGTGAATTAGGTTCGACCTTAGCTATGGCAACGTCACGGTATCTAAATGTAGAAAGGAGACTGCAGCGAGACGAAAGCCTGAGAAGAGAATACACGCAGTTCATGCAGGAGTACATAAGTTTAGGGCACATGAAAGAAGCAACTGAAGCCATATCTGACAATCAAAGCGGCTGCTATTTGCCGCACCACGCGGTAGTCAAAGCATCTAGCCTGACTAAAAAGGTAAGAGTAGTGTTCGACGCCTCCGCCAGAAGCACTTCAGGCCTATCGCTAAATGATGTCTTGAAGTGTGGGCCCACAGTTCAGCAAGAATTGTTGTCAAATTACGCGATTTCGAAAACACCAAATTGTCATAACCGGGGATGTTGAAAAGATGTTCAGGCAGATAAAGGTGGCAAAGGAGGATTGGAGGTTGCAAAAGGTTCTCTGGAGATCAAGTCCTGAAGAAGAGCTGAGAGAGTATTATCTCACTACAATTACATACGGAACCACACCAGCATCCTTTTTAGCTATCTACTGCCTTGTTACTCTAGGTAAGTCGGCTGAACAATCACACCCAACAGCAGCGAAGGCGATTATTGAGGACTTCTACATGGATGATATAATGACGGGCGCAGAGACTGAAGACGAATGTTGTCAGCTACAAAAGGATATCAGTATGATCATGGATTCTGCTAGGTTACCTTTAAGAAAGTGGTGCTCAAATTTTGAATTTGTCCGGCAGAAATTATCAGAGCATGGAGAATCACCGTTATTTGCATTGGAAATTGGAGATCAGGACCTAGTAAAGTTGTTGGGACTACAGTGGCAGCCAGTTGCGGATGAATTTCAATTCAAAATTATGCCGAGAGAAAAGAAGGGACACTTGACCAAGAGGATAATATTAGCAGAGCTAAACCGAATATTTGATCCGCTTGGTTTCCTGTCTCCAGTGTTGATAAAGGGAAAGATATTTCTCCAACAGTTATGGGCAATGAAAATTGAATGAGACGCAAAGCTGCCAAATGAAATTCATGAAAAATGGAGGCAATTCTACGAAGAGCTTGAGGAGCTAGAAACCATACGAATACCAAGAAAGGCAAGACCTGAAATTAGTGACTTAACGGAGATTCATGGATTTTGCGATGCTTCAGAAGAAGCATTTGGAGCCAGCGTTTATGTACGCTCGCGAGATAATAAGGGAAACTGGCATTCCAGATTGTTGTGTTCAAAGACGCGAGTAGCGCCCTCAAAAAATATCACAATACCGCGGCTTGTACTTAACGGCGCATTGCTACTAGCACAGTTGGCTCAAAAAGTATCACAGTCATGGGAATTTCCCCTTAAGTCCTTCAAGTTGTGGACTGACTCAAAAATTGTGTTAGGCTGGCTGAACAGCCAAAGCATTCGTTTAAAAACTTACGTATCAAATCGAGTAACGCAAATTTTGGATCTGTGTGAACCAACGCAATGGAATTATGTAAGGTCAGAGGAAAATCCAGCTGATATATGTTCAAGAGGTTTAAGACCACGGCAGATGCAAGGAGCAGTCTTATGGTGGAATGGTCCTGGTTGGCTATCCGAATAGGACGAAACTTGGAAAAATTCTTTGGTTAAACCAACGCATGAAGACTAACTGCCAGAGCAGCGAACTCCTCAGTTGGTGTTAAGCACCATTGATGAATCGAGGGACCTAGTAAGTAGATATTCAGACTGGCACAGGCTAACGCGTGCCATTGCTTGGCTGAGACGGTTTGTGGAGTATCTGCAATCTAAGAGAAAATGGTCTGGAAGTCATCAGCTGACAGTCCAAGAACTACACGAAACGAAGGAAGTATTAATAAAAAGAGCACAAGCAGAAGTATTCGGAAAAGAGATGATAGCGTTGAAGAATGGCATGGAGATACCGCCCAAAAGCAGACTCAGATCGCTATGCCCGTTTATTGAAAACGAACTGATATTAGTAGGTGGACGCTTACAAAACGCAACTGTGTCAAAGGAGCAAAAAAATCCAATAGTTCTACCACCTGATCATGTAATCACAAGATTAATATACAAGGAATGCCATCATAAAATGCTGCATTGTGGTCCGCAGGCGCTCCTAGCAGAAGTCAGAAGAACATATTGGCCAACACGAGGCAGAGCCATTGCACGCTCAGTCTTTCGATAGTGCGTCATATGCAAAAGAGCAAGTCCCACGTTTGACCAGCCAATAATGGGGTCGCTTCCGAAGCAACGCGTTCAGCATTCTCGCCCATTCACAGCTACTGGTGTCGACTTTGCTGGGCCACTGATCATCAGAAGTGGAATTCGTGGAAGGCCGGGCAAAAAGGCATGGATCGCAATATTTGTATGCTTCTCAACGAGAGCAGTCCACATTGAGGCAGTGGAGGATTTAACGACCAACGCGTTCTTAGCAGCGTTTAGAAGATTTATATCCAGAAGAGGAAAGCCAAACATCGTCTGGAGTGATAATGGAACGAATTTTGTTGGAGCACGCAAAGAGCTATCTGTATATGTGAGTAAGGTGGATAGTTGTCTAGCATCAGAAGCAATAACTTGGAAGTTTAATCCACCGGCATCGCCGCATTTTGGCGGAGTATGGGAAAGCGCAGTGAAAGGTGCTAAATTCCACCTCACGAGAGTGGTAAGGGGCATGTCTTTAACCTTAAGTGAATTGCAGGGGTGCGCCCCGTATACGCTTCCTCGCAGTGCACCCTGGTAACAATTGATAAAATTTTATTTTGTCAATTGGCTAAAGTATACGGACCCTTGGTTGACGGACTGTGCTCCTAGCATCTCCCGCCTACTATGCAAGCGAACAAACGGCATACTAGTCAAAAAAGCCCTTCTAAGGGCTTCTTAACGAAGGATTTAATCCGAATAATGCAGTTGAATGTGGAGGGCCTTAGTAAAGCTAAAGCTGATGTCTAAGATTCGATTATGTAGAATCTTAGACGATGAAAAGATAGACATTCTTGCTATCCAGGAAACACATACATGTGA